GTGCTGTAGGCTGTTGGCCAGCCAGACAGTCATTGCCGGGCTTGTCGTTGTTGTTGTTGTTGTCGTTGTTGTTGTTGTTGTTGTTGTTGTTGTTGTTGTTGTTGTTGTTGTTGTTCTTGTTGTTGTTCTTGTTGTTGTTCTTGTTGTTGTTGTTGTTGTTGTTGTTGCTGTTGTTATTGTTGTTGGGTTTAGGGGTCTGGTTTAGGGTTTAGGGGTTTAGGGTTTGGGGGTTTAGGGTTTAGGGTTTAGGGGTTTAGGGTTTGGGGTTTAGGGGTTTAGGGGCTCAGGGCTGAGGGTTTGCAGCCTCTCTGTTGGTGGGTTTAGGACTCACTATGCGTGTCGGAATAAACAGCAACACTCTCCTGTCAATTGCAATCCCAGCATACTTCTTGTACAATACACCGAAGAACTTATTCGAACTGTGAAGGGCCTTGTAACAAGATTTTAGATGTTAGTGTTTCGGGTGTAGTGTAGAAGCCTGAAAAATGAATACTGTTCCTTAGAGTCCTTACTGTGATCAGACATTACTTCCTGCACTGTCCTTCAAATAGCAGCTTCTTTAAAGGTAAACACCTTTCCCTGTAATACCCAGAAATATGCACGTGGATCCGTCATCATGTGTTCCTTTACGGTTTTGTTTAGTTAGGGGCCTAAATAATTACCTATGTTGTTTTGGGGGTTACCTATCATGACTATATTGCAATATACACCCGAAACCCTATTCCAATTATTAAGGCTCTTATATTACAGGGGTCCCTCAACCCTAAACCCTAAACCTTAAACCTTAAACCCTAAACCCTAAACCCTGGGTTTTGGCTTTCGCGGTGTTGGGTTTCGGGTTTTCTGAACTCCGCCCGGCGGAGGCTGCAACCGACCTGTGGCCCGGGGGTATGGCATCTGCTGCCGGACGTGTAACCTCTCCAACGGCACCTTTGGCTCCCTTTAGGGTTTAGGGGTTTAGGGTTTAGGGTTTATAGGGTTTAGGGGGTTTAGGGGTTTAGGCTTTACGTAGGCTCTAGGGTTTAGGGGTTTAGGGGTTTAGGCTTTGCGTAGCCTTTAGGGTTTACAGGGGCTTAGGGTTTAGGTTTTACGGGTTTAGGTTTTAGGGGTCTAGGGCTCTGGGACACATGAGGATTCCTTGAAGGCACCTGGAAGGGCCCCATTGATTCTGTAATATAGGAGCCTCAACAATTATCTATATTATTCTGAGGGTTCCTTATTAAAATTATGGTATAATGGTCCCAAAACTCTAGTCCAATCATTAAGGCCCCTATATTGCGGCTTGAAGGGTTTAGGCGTTTTCAGGGTTCTGGGGTTCAGGATCTTAAATGTTAAAGTCGATCCTGATTCCTTGAGAGTTTAGGGTTTTGGTAGGGTTTAGGGAAATGTTGCATTCTGAATCCTTACCTCTGAACAGTAAAGCCCCAAAATACCCAAAACCTGCATTTCGGTATCCTCAGCTTAGGGTTTAGGGTTTAGGGTTTAGGGTTTAGGGTTTAGGGACCGCGGCCCAGGCAAGAGGCATGGTCCAGTTTGCGAACGCCGCTCTTGCCTCGGCGGGGTTTGATGCGGGCCCATCTTGGACAGGGTATTCCGGAGAACCAAAGCGTCCAATCTGAAACCCTAAACCCCAGAATTCCCGAAACGTGAAACCCGATGAGGGTCTTGTCTTCAGGATCCTTATTCACCCGAAAGTCTTAAAGCCTAAACCCTAAGCCCTAAACAGTAGGGTTTGGGGCTTAGATTTTCGGGCCAGTCTTCAGTGATTAGGGTTTAGACCCGAACCCCTGTACCATAACCCTGTGCCCTAAGGCTCCACGTGCCTACATCGTATCTACTTAGCCCAAAAGGTACCTATAGAGGAACCCTTTTTTAGGCCTAAGTATTTACTATATAGCTGCTTGGAGCCTCAGGGTTGTTGTTGCGTGTAGTCTTTATGATTCGATCGAGCGGCTGCGCAAAGGTCTTCAGGGACAAGCAACTTCGGCGGTGGAAACAGGCCTGGAAGGGGTTTCGGAGGGTTTCCATAAGCGTGTTCTGCATGTCGATGTTTTCAATTTGTTATGATTGAAGGTTTGCTGTTTGCTGTTTCATATATATATATATATATATATATGTATATATGTATGTA